AAAAAAAAAAAAAAGCCACTTATTCAGGCTCTGGCAATAAGAACTGGACTCTCTTGGAAACCCAGGCATGGAGGAACCAAGGACTGGTCTGGTGTCTGTCTTGCTCATGGTCTCTGCTTCTCTCTTCACTCTCTCAGTGAGTCCTTCATGTGTGCACAGCCCTGGGTTGAACCCTGGACACAAGGAGGTTAATTAAATACAGCTTCTGTCCTAGAAAAGTGGACACAGATGTTTGCTCTAGCTGGAGAGAAATCAAGAAAGCTGCTTTGAGGACATGATGCTGGAAGATTCAGTTGTTCCCTTAATGTCGATTGAGCATCGACTGTTTCCAGGTGCTCTTCTAGGTGGGGATACAACAACTGGGGACAAGATCTCTGATCTGATGAAGTTCTTGTTCTCAAGGAATGAGGTGGTCAATAAATATACAACCAAATGAAGAAGACAAGGTTATATAGAGATATAGGCAGAGAATTCAAACAAAGAATTTCAATTTTGTGATAGAGTGGATACTTAAAATTAATGGTTAGAGAAAGTCCTTTGTCCAGAGATAATATTTCAGCTGAAATCTGAATGACAACAAACAATTATGCAAAGATAGAGGGCCATGTCCTAGGCTGGAACAGCTAATGCAAACACCCACATTCAGCTTTGAATATAAGATATCTACACCCTTCTCCTTGTGCCTCAGCCCTATGACATGCTCGAAGAAGATATTTAGTAAATGTTCTGAATGAAAATGGAGGAATGAGGTGACTCCGTGTTGTCAGTGTTGTGTTGAGGCGTGAACTAATTAGAACAATGGATACAGAGATGTGTGCCTGTGCAGTGTGTGTGTGTGTGCATGTATGTGTGTGTTTGGTAGATGTTTATACTTATCTCTTCTGAAAATAAATTTCTGCAGAGAACTATCCCGAGAATCTGTGGTCCTAGAGGATCAGTTGTCCAGCTGTAGAGATAGATGCATGGGAGGAGACAGTAGATGGAGTTTAGGGTATTAAAGTAGAGAGCTGCCCAGTGCTATGGTTGGGAGAACACCAGCAGCCCTGGAGCACTGCCCGGCATACAACAGTTCTACAATGGTTATTTATTAACCTCAGCTTGAAGGCCAGTTCAGCATTGTCTCTGGTCACCAGGCTAATTGGGCCTGATATTGCTGAAGCATCTGCTAAGGGCCTGGGCTGAAGGACAGCTTCCCTGACACAACCTCCATGCTCTGAGTAAGTCATTTCTGCAGAGGTGGATCCCTAGGCTAAGAGTCTGGCCACTTGACTTGATCCTGGTGAGGTCCAGGCAGGGAAGAATGGAAGTGAGATATGCATGCTAGCAACATGTTTAAGTTTAACCTTGGCCTCTAGCATAATCAAGGAAGGGGGGAAAAGGAAAAAAAAAGATAGAAAGAGGAATGGTGGTGGAGAATGTGATGAAGAAAGGTCCCTTCCAACTCACTCCTTCTCCTGGAGGAAGAAGAACCCTGGAGGAAGGGAAGGATTAAGGGAGCTCGGCAGGGTAGGCAAGGGCAGGTGAGTAACGAGGGCCAGCGACATTGGGATTATCGGCCAGAGAAGAGCAGAGGGAGAGGCCCATTGGGGCTGGCCTGCCAGGGCTTCCTGGAAGAGGAGGCAGCTTGAGTAAAAGATGGAGAGGAATCTGACAGCTGGATGGGGGTTCAGAGCTAGAGAGGCCTGTGGGCAACATGCAGAGAACACTGTCATGAGCTGAAATCCTGCCAGGCCCAGCGTGAACAGAAATTTTAGGAGCCAGGGTTCTGGCTGGCAAAAATGACCTCTCAGCGGAAAATCTCAAAGCAAAGGAAGGAGGCAAATGTAAGTCTCATGTGGCCAGGATCAATGACCAAAGAAAGTTTCATGTGAGGTTCAGAGCCCTGCCTCAGGTCACTCTGGGTCCTGAGGCCCCAGCAAGTGCCTGCTGCAAAGCAGAGACTTTATACAAAATGATTGACAGGCTTCTGGGGAAATGGCTGTGGCTGAGGGTTGTTGGGGCCCCAGGGTGTAAAACAGAAATTTTTATGTGAAATGAGAGAATGGATGTTGTAAACCAGGTCCCACCAACAAATGGGCCTTATGGGACTTGAGGTCACCTGCTATAGTCTAAGTCTAGCTCTAGGGCCCATAGGAAGGTAAAGAAGATGCAATAGAATCTCACTTGGCCCTCAAGGAAGGGAGTTAAGAAATAGAACAGCCAAAGCTCACACAGACAATGAGCTCGCCTATGTGCCAGGCCACCAGGAACAGGCCTAGTCTGTCATTTCCAGACCCTGTGGGTTATCATGTATAGGGGCTGCCTAACCCCCTAATCTTTATACCCAAAGGGGCACTGGAGACCCAGGGAGAACAGACCCCTATTATAGTCCTCTTGCATCTACCTTTGTTTCAGCACTGATCTAATACCTTTTACTTGTCTGTCTCTCTAGTAGCCTGGGAGTGAATCACAGCCCAGGGCTGTAAATTCCCCTCTGTGTCTACTGCTCTGAACACAAGGTCCAGCACACCAAAGGTGGTAGCAAATATTGACTAAAGATGAGATAGAATTATTTTCCTTGACTTTCTCCGTGCTAAGGTAAGGACCATGTTCCGGTTTTCATCACTTCCTGTCCTTATGTGTGTGGTAACGGTGTCCTGCTCAGAAACAAAAACCTGCGAAGATGCCCAGAAGACCTGTTCAGTGATTACCTGTGGCATCCCAGTCACCAATGGCACCCCAGGCAGAGATGGGCGAGACGGACCCAAGGGAGAAAAGGGAGAACCAGGTACAGGACAGGCTGGTCTGAATTCTTAAATCTTTACTCCCAAAAGGAAACTGTTCCCTATAAGGGATCTAGCACAGAGCCATGAGCAGGCTCATCTTTCATTATGATGGGTGATGAATCACTCAGAATAACTCTTGTAAATGTCATTCACTCCAAAACAGAGATGCTTCTGTGGTTCTCCAGGATCCCACATTTTCACATAGCAATTGGTGATGTGTGGCTGTCTATAGAGAGGGAGCTGGTCTTTGGGATGGGCTACCCCCTGGGATGCAGGAAGATCTTTCTTCTTGGGTCACACTTAGTTCACCAGTAGTTTCCTGGGTCAATGTGAATCGGGTATCGAGCTTTTGGAGAAAGAGAATGAGCGACAGTCCCTGGATCACATATCCATCTTCCAACAGGGCAAGGACTCAGAGGTTTGCAGGGCCCTCCAGGGAAATTTGGGCCTCCAGGAAATACAGGGGCTCCTGGGTTGCAAGGAGCAAAGGGCCAAAAAGGAGATCGTGGAGACAGTTCAGGTAAGGAGCTCACCCCAGCACGGTGTGGGCTTATGAGATCCAGGGCCCTGGGAACTCGAGGGCCAGGTGGGAGGTGACGCTTCTCCTGCTGCCCCACTGGCAGATGCTCACTTCTCCTTCCTGACCCAGTACTCTTGTTCCTCTCAGTCTTACTTGGGGCCTGAGGGGATTCCGAAGGGTGCCTGAGTATAGACTTTGCAATCCTGCGGGCCACCCCCTCAATGGATCTCTTCAGGAGACGAGCCTTGGCCCTCTTCAGCTGGAACATCCAATCTGAGGTTCCAGGCTGCGAGGGAGGAAATGGGTCCTCTTGGGTGTTGGTTTTATGTCTATTGTCACAGAGAGGCATGAAAATGGCCTGTCTCATAGGACCCCTGAATAATGGAGACCATCGTAGTGATGTATTTAGAGTGAAATAAAGTAATTCAATAACAACAAATAAAAATGGTGACCTCATAGTAATGTTTGTCTACTCGCCCATCAAAACAATAAAAATACTAAAGCGTTTGCCTGGAATAAAAAATGAAAGAGAAAGATTAAGAAAAATTTTCAAAAAGAATAGTGAATAGGGCCTTTTCTTATAAGTAATTATAACATTGCAATATTTAAGCAATACATGCAGAAAAGAATCCAGAACTATAGTTTACAAGTTATTGTATTATTATTGTTAGTAGTAGTACTAGTTTCAGAGTTATAGTTCACAAGAGTTATGAACTGTATCTGGAAAGGCAGAAATGCAGTTATGTGTGTTTTTTCTTTTGCTTCTTTTAATTTTCTTATTTTTCTGGCATAAGCATACTTTTTAGTAAGCTAACTTTTGTCCCCATACTCTGCTCAGGGATGTGAAGTACAGTAGTGGGAATGTAGTCAATAATATTATAACAACTACGTACAGTGCCAGCTGTGTATTAGACTAATTAGGGAGCTCACTTCATAAATTATATGTGTCTAACCACTATACTGTACACCTGAAATTAATGTAATATAATATTGAATGTCAATTCTACCTAAAAAGTAAAAATTTTAAAAAATATTCTGCTCTCCAGTTTAGGGTCTTCTTCTGAATAAGTACCCTTCTCCCTATTGCTTTGTAGCTGCTGAGACTAAGCTGGCTAACTTAGAGAGAGAAATAAGGAGCCTGAAGTCAGAACTGGACCACATTAAAAAGTGTAAGCCTTTTTTCTGTCCCTTGTGTATTCCTGGCTCTCACCTTTTCCTTCAGAGCTCTCTAGGTTTTGGGGAGGGTGGAAGAGAACAAACATTTGTGAACACTTATTATATAGCAGGGCCTGTGCTAGGTTGGCATTTTCTCATAATGTGGTTTCATTCAATCCTCTCACCAACCCTATTTGTGGGTATTATACCTATTTTATTTACAAGTGAGAAAAAAATGAGTCCAGGAATTTTAGATAATTCATTCAATGTCACACAGCTGGGAAGTAGCAGAGGAAAGATTGCATGGAGATCTGCTATCTCCAGAACCTTTGTTCCTTCCTCAACATCCACTGTTCTTAGACGGCTATCCATGCCTCTTTCTCATCCTGGTGCCAAGCCTGAGAGTGGGACCCAAGCATGTTTTCCTACGTTCACCTGCACTGGGACAGTTTGTAACAGATGCTTGTCTCAAGGCTCAAACATCCCAAGAGATGCCAGGCTTTCCGCGAGGCCTCATTCGACAACAGAGGCATGCTTCCTTACTAGGATTTATGGTTGATCATGGGCTATTTTCCAGAGTCCTGAGTTCCCAGAAAAGAGCTTTTTTGCCTACTATCCTGTGCTTGGCTCCAACCGAGTCAGACTCACCTACCCTTTTTAATTTCAGTGCAAATCTTCTCCTTGGGAAAAAAGTCTGGGAAGAAGTTATATGTGACCAATGGTGAACTTATGCCTTTTTCCAAAGTGAAGACTCTGTGCACAGAGCTCCAGGCCACTGTTGCCACCCCCAAGGACAATGATAGATGATGCCTTTGGGGGCACTGAATGTTTAATGGGAACACTTCTAATATTTCACCATTGAAAATATTGCTTGTTTTAGGTTCCTGACAGATACCTTTTATCAAGGTAAAGAAGTTCCCACTTCTTCCTATTTTATTGAGATTCATTTTAATCCTGAGTATATTTTGACATTTATCAGATTTTTTTTGACATTTCCTTTAGTCTGATAACACCAAAATGGTTTCAAGTGTGGGTTGACTCATCTCCCATTCCTGGGTACTAGCATCTGGGGCCCACAGGGGAGAACAAGAGGCTTTAAGTGCCTCACCTTTTCAGGATGGTGTAATGCTGCAGGGACCCCATCATGAAACATGCAAAGAGGGGCCTGTTCAGCATGAGTGGTTTAGTAATTCCCATGCCCTTGATCAGTTAAGGAGGACGAAACAGAGGAAAGGAGGCTGATGCACCTTGGGTGGAAATTATCCTTTCTTCTCTTCTTCCTGTGGAATCAGGGAGGGGACTGTTCTATCCTCCTCCTACTCTTTGCAAGTAGGGATACCCCAATTACTTTGCCTTCCCCAATTAAGTCACCTAAGGCAGGAATAGGGGGGATTATCTCCTATTCCAAAACTGCTGAAGTACCAAACCAGTAGAGGGCCTGATCTCGCTGAGGCATGAGGAGATGAAGAAGTAGGAGAATAGAACTGGCGTAGAAGTGTTTTGGGGCAACGTGGACTTCCAACACTTGGATGAGTCTCCCAGGGGCTGTGTGAATATCAGTGTCATGGAGGCTACCTGGGATTTTTTAAACCCTACTCATGAGCAGGTTGCTTCTTGGAGCACAGGGAATGGAAGAACAAGAGACCATGAATTGAAATGTCCACTGACATGTTGTTGAGGGTGGAGAATGTGCAACTGAAGACTTTTACAGAGTCCCTTGTCTGAGGAACCAACTCCTGAGAGGACATAACTTGTCAGTTATGCAAGGAACTCACCACCCAGTCAGAGTGGGCTGAGAAGAAGCAGTGTCCCCATTGACACGTAGGTCCTCCTGTGAGCAGGCACTGCCCGTCCTTGGCACCATCATTACCTCTACACTCCACATGTGCAAATAAATAAGAGAGGTCACTGCCCACCCTTCACTTCAAGAAGCCACCACTCCACAGCCACAGTGGAGATGAAACTGAGATCTCAATGACAAAAATGGAGAACAATTATTCATTTGGACTACGTTTTAATTCAACCCTAGAAAGTTTGCACTGCAAGGGTCTAAGAAGAAAATGTATGAACAATTTTGGGACCATGTTTAGTTTTGAGAACAGGATGAGCTTCAAGATTGTGTATGTCTGCAAGACTCTTAAACTTGTTATATATTAAATTAATGAATTACATGGTTTTGTTTTTTGATGTTGAACCATCCTTGCATCTCTGATATATACCCTTCTAGGCCTACTGGATGATACTCTCATCACATTTAGTATGTGCCAGGCACTATACTTGTATTAACTCATGTCATGTCATCTTCATTAACCCTATTACATAGATACTATTATTATCCACAATTTACAAATAAGAATATTGATGCAAATGCAGATTAAAATGATTTGTCAAAGTTCCTGGGCTACAAATACAGGAAGTCAGATTTCAGAGACTGTGCTATTAACCACTAATGCATGGCTGAACTCTAATAGCTGTTTTTTACTTTAGGCTTTCCTGTGGGTTCATGTCTGCCCCACATCATATAATTATTCTGATGTTAGGGGCTACCAGGGACATATTTTTCCCACGACTGGAAAGAAACAAGAAGAGGCCACGTTAAACCTACAAGCACACTTAAAAATGCTGCACCTTTCATGGCTGCTCACAGTCACATGGCCAAGCCAAGCACAAAAGGATTTGGGGTGTTTACTCCACATACTCTAGTGCAAGACTCTGCAAAGTACTATGGCAAAGGGCTTAGATATACAATTCCACAATAAAGAGAAATTAAAAATGAGGAATAATAATTCAAACTATCATGATCGTATTTGCCAAATTTATTATCTTTTTTGCAAAAAAACAGTTTGTATTTTATCGTTAGCTCTATAGTTATTTCCTTACTTTATTCATTGATTTCATTATGTATTTTTATTTTATTTATTGATTTCAATTTTATTTCCTATTTATTATTTATTTATTCCTTATTTATACTACCTTATAAATACATCAATTTATACATTTCATAGAGTCAGCTATCCTTGGAAGATTATTTTTGAGGCTTCTTGTATCAGTGAATTTTCCCTCTGCTTATTTCCTACTGTGTTTAGTAATTTTTACAAGGTTGACTCGAATTACCTGATCTCCATCTGAGCAAATCCTGAGATGCCTGGCTAAAAGATAAGGTCTTCCATTGTTTTTATGTCCTCATGGCACACTAGGTTGTGATAAGCTGGAACACTTCAAAATCAATCCTTTATCATGGCATAAACAGCAAAATGTAGTAATAATTATCATAGCAAATCATAGCAATAGTATACATTCAAATGCCAGATCTATGAGAAGACAGACTTGTGGCTATGCATGCTCAAGGGTGGTTCCTTTTCCCTTCCAGAGTCAAGGCTTTCTTGTTATATCCCTTTGCTTAAGTGCAGATCCCTCCTTCCTCCTGCCTTCTTCTCTCCACTCCATCTGAAGCCAGAGTTTCTCTAAGTCTGTAGCATATATGGGTCCTGGTTTTATGTAAATCATTTGGCTTCAGATTTCCACATTTCTGGGAGGCCTGACCATTTGCTGTATGGGTTGAATGTTCCTTGTCCTCTGAGCCTATGGGCCCTTCAAAGTTGCATCAGTGGCATTGGGAAACAAGCCCTAAGAGGAGTTTTCTTTACAATGGACCCCTCTTAGTTCCTGGCATGCTCTTTTATAACAGGAACCTGGGATGGCTGCTGAACTGGGCATAGGGACTTGAATATATAGGACCAATGACCTTTGAGAAGTCAAAACACCAATCACAAAGCAGAGTGAATGAAAAATGGCCCAGTTCCCGCTCCCCACCAGGAAAAAGCAAACCTGCTGAATTGCTTGATGAGACTATTTCAAAGAGTGACTGTAAATTTGGGAGAGGGGAAGAATCAAAGGTCATGTTAGGGTCTTGAAAAAGGCCACTTGTGTCTATGGCCATGCCACCCTGAACAAGCCCAATCCCGTCTGATCTCAAAAGCTAAGCAGAGTTGGGCCTGGTTAGTACTTGGATGAGAGACCACCTAGGAAGACCAGGTGCTGTAGGCGTAAAAAATTAAAAATAAGGGATTGTAAGCTGACAAGGTCCTTGCAATCTGTGAGGTCAACTAAGGGTTGCCTCACCTGAAAAAAAAAAAAAGCCACTTATTCAGGCTCTGGCAATAAGAACTGGACTCTCTTGGAAACCCAGGCATGGAGGAACCAAGGACTGGTCTGGTGTCTGTCTTGCTCATGGTCTCTGCTTCTCTCTTCACTCTCTCAGTGAGTCCTTCATGTGTGCACAGCCCTGGGTTGAACCCTGGACACAAGGAGGTTAATTAAATACAGCTTCTGTCCTAGAAAAGTGGACACAGATGTTTGCTCTAGCTGGAGAGAAATCAAGAAAGCTGCTTTGAGGACATGATGCTGGAAGATTCAGTTCCCTTAATGTCGATTGAGCATCGACTGTTTCCAGGTGCTCTTCTAGGTGGGGATACAACAACTGGGGACAAGATCTCTGATCTGATGAAGTTCTTGTTCTCAAGGAATGAGGTGGTCAATAAATATACAACCAAATGAAGAAGACAAGGTTATATAGAGATATAGGCAGAGAATTCAAACAAAGAATTTCAATTTTGTGATAGAGTGGATACTTAAAATTAATGGTTAGAGAAGAAAGTCCTTTCTCCAGAGATAATATTTCAGCTGAAATCTGAATGACAACAAACAATTATGCAAAGATAGAGGGCCATGTCCTAGGCTGGAACAGCTAATGCAAACACCCACATTCAGCTTTGAATATAAGATATCTACACCCTTCTCCTTGTGCCTCAGCCCTATGACATGCTCGAAGAAGATATTTAGTAAATGTTCTGAATGAAAATGGAGGAATGAGGTGACTCCGTGTTGTCAGTGTTGTGTTGAGGCGTGAACTAATTAGAACAATGAATACAGAGATGTGTGCCTGTGCAGTGTGTGTGTGTGTGCATGTATGTGTGTGTTTGGTAGATGTTTATACTTATCTCTTCTGAAAATAAATTTCTGCAGAGAACTATCCCGAGAATCTGTGGTCCTAGAGGATCAGTTGTCCAGCTGTAGAGATAGATGCATGGGAGGAGACAGTAGATGGAGTTTAGGGTATTAAAGTAGAGAGCTGCCCAGTGCTATGGTTGGGAGAACACCAGCAGCCCTGGAGCACTGCCCGGCATACAACAGTTCTACAATGGTTATTTATTAACCTCAGCTTGAAGGCCAGTTCAGCATTGTCTCTGGTCACCAGGCTAATTGGGCCTGACATTGCTGAAGCATCTGCTAAGGGCCTGGGCTGAAGGACAGCTTCCCTGACACAACCTCCATGCTCTGAGTAAGTCATTTCTGGAGAGCAGAGGTGGATCCCTAGGCTAAGAGTCTGGCCACTTGACTTGATCCTGGTGAGGTCCAGGCAGGGAAGAATGGAAGTGAGATGTGCATGCTAGCAACATGTTTAAGTTTAACCTTGGCCTCTAGCATAATCAAGGAAGGGGGGAAAAGGAAAAAAAAAGATAGAAAGAGGAATGGTGGTGGAGAATGTGATGAAGAAAGGTCCCTTCCAACTCACTCCTTCTCCTGGAGGAAGAAGAACCCTGGAGGAAGGGAAGGATTAAGGGAGCTCGGCAGGGTAGGCAAGGGCAGGTGAGTAACAAGGGCCAGCGACATTGGGATTATCGGCCAGAGAAGAGCAGAGGGAGAGGCCCATTGGGGCTGGCCTGCCAGGGCTTCCTGGAAGAGGAGGCAGCTTGAGTAAAATATGGAGAGGAATCTGACAGCTGGATGGGGGTTCAGAGCTAGAGAGGCCTGTGGGCAACATGCAGAGAACACTGTCATGAGCTGAAATCCTGCCAGGCCCAGCGTGAACAGAAATTTTAGGAGCCAGGGTTCTGGCTGGCAAAAATGACCTCTCAGTGGAAAATCTCAAACCAAAGGAAGGAGGCAAATGTAAGTCTCATGTGGCCAGGATCAATGACCAAAGAAAGTTTCATGTGAGGTTCAGAGCCCTGCCTCAGGTCACTCTGGGTCCTGAGGCCCCAGCAAGTGCCTGCTGCAAAGCAGAGACTTTATACAAAATGATTGACAGGTTTCTGGGGAAAAGTCTGTGGCTGAGGGTTGTTGGGGCCCCAGGGTGTAAAACAGAAATTTTTATGTGAAATGAGAGAATGGATGTTGTAAACCAGGTCCCACCAACAAATGGGCCTTATGGGACTTGAGGTCACCTGCTATAGTCTAAGTCTAGCTCTAGGGCCCATAGGAAGGTAAAGAAGATGCAATAGAATCTCACTTGGCCCTCAAGGAAGGGAGTTAAGAAATAGAACAGCCAAAGCTCACACAGACAATGAGCTCGCCTATGTGCCAGGCCACCAGGAACAGGCCTAGTCTGTCATTTCCAGACCCTGTGGGTTATCATGTATAGGGGCTGCCTAACCCCCTAATCTTTATACCCAAAGGGGCACTGGAGACCCAGGGAGAACAGACCCCTATTATAGTCCTCTTGCATCTACCTTTGTTTCAGCACTGATCTAATACCTTTTACTTGTCTGTCTCTCTAGTAGCCTGGGAGTGAATCACAGCCCAGGGCTGTAAATTCCCCTCTGTGTCTACTGCTCTGAACACAAGGTCCAGCACACCAGAGGTGGTAGCAAATATTGACTAAAGATGAGATAAAATTATTT